TAAAATTATACCTCAGTGGTCTTAAGGCGAACGCGTTGTGCACTTAAGGTCACTTCTCACGTATCCAATGCTGTAGGCTTCTGTTGTGTGAGTGAGCGAAATCTAAGACATTTTTAGCAGCGGTGGTTGTGATTTCAAACCGACGTAATTTCAAAGCAGATTTATTTCAGCCACTTTAGAACGAAAAAAAACGTGGTCTCAAAATTAATTCAGCTTGGTTGTTGGCTGTTTTAGACCTCATTCTTTGTATGATGTGTTTTCCCTTTTATTTCAGCTGACTCATCGACAAGTCATAAAATAGGTTGTTTATGACACATCCGCCGCTTCTGAAGGGGAGAGAAATTTAATTGACACAACACAGACGTTGTTACATATTTCAGTCATTGTGGATAAATTGAAAATCATTACAGCTAAAGGTGCTTAAAAGGCTCTCTGGTGGTAACAATTTACTAATAGACGGGTTGGAGTGACTTGTTGACGTCAATTTAAAGTAAAAACCTTATCTCTAGAGTGTTTTATACCACTGAGAGTAGAAGCGTCATTAATTCATGGTCGAAAAGCAGGCGTAGGGACTGATAAGGTCATATTGAGTGGTAGTAAAGCTCTCGCTTTACAATTTCGTTTTAGAGTGTGTGGGAAGAGAGAATGTGGGTAAATAGTACTGAAAGCACGCGACATTCTGACTCAGGGCCTCCTATTGGTTAGCTTTGAGAGAAGGGGGGAGGGAGGGTTTTTAAAACGATCAATCCTACCCAAGTGTTTTCCCAAATATGGTAATCACAAGTGCGATAACTGCAGGCGCCTATGTAGAGTAAAAGAAAGTAGGAGGGACAAATATTCCGAAAAAATCAAATAGCCTGTTTTAAAATAATGGATATGATAAAATTTATTATGATGTTAGTCAATTTATTTTTTATTTGTAGCATTATCTACTTTCCACAGATGCTTTATAAGGCCGATAACCAAAGCAACCATTGAAATTCAGCCCATTAACGTTCTGGTGGAATAAACAATGCATAACTGCTGATGCAATTTATCACTTTCAGCATTGTTCATAATTTGACTAAATAGTTTCCATTAACAACCAGCCCTGCTAGAGCAAGGGATTACATCATATATTTTATATAGTTGCAACCAATCAGAATCCTGCGCCAGCAGCAGTTAGTTTTGGAAGAAAAAGCCAAAGTGCTTCCTTTCCCTGTCTTCTCCCCTTAACTCCATTGCCAAAGTAATCATCGCGTATTTTAAGTTTCACAGATGACATGGCGAGAAAAAAAGTGGGCCAAATGGTGATACTTGGAAGCTAAAAGCTGGATTATTACTTACTTATGGGAGAATTATATTAACCAGGACGGTGATTTATTTCCAAATGCCTATTTAAAAAAAAATAAATCAGTACACATAATGGGAGATTACGTGTGAAGCCAGATTTGTGCATAAGTGGTTTCTTATTTTCTAGCACTGGTCTATGATTAGGGTCTTGATTCATAAAAGCCTCCTGTGAGAGGCTCAAAATCTATGGTACTCTTGTTATCCACAAGTGAGCTGTGCAGTTGGTCCTTTGACTCTTGAGCGCACACCGATGGATATGGAATACGCGGTCACTGCGTTTGCATACGAGTCCATCAACCACTTCATTCCGCAGTAATACCCAGTTTCACAAAATCGCTAACGGGCTCAGTTATAGAGTTTGTGGCGATAAGTTTCCGTTTATAGCTTTTGTTTAGCCAGAGCACGTACATCTATAATGATCATTAATTATTTTTGCACCTGAAAAGCTGGCTACGGAAATACATAGTATGTAATAACTTGGTGCATTCTTGAATATTTGCACATCCGTCGATCGTTAATGGAGTTGGGTTTCAACTACACCACATTTTAAAGGATATTTTCGGTAACATGAATTCTCTTTAGAACTAACGATCATCAGATGTTTTCGTGACTAGAAGATGGTCAATTTTTTGCACAATATTGAAGATCAGGAAAAAAAACTTTGTGAGGAAGCGTTAATTAAATCATATCTTAATCTATTTTGATAGTTACAGAAAAACAATTACGGTAAACTTGACAACAGACGAAAAGTCCAACATACGTGGGCTGCCGTGTCCCATGCTGCCGGCACACGGCACCGGAGTATCACAATTATGAGTTCCGAATACAAACTTATGGTTGGTCATAACAGAGGTACAAAGTCAAATCGATCTGAAGATTGCCAATAACTGTTATACAAAATGGGAAGAAAACACAGGTTCTTTGCCGGAGTTCCTATTAGAATTCAACCCAAAGCAAATACAACGTTTTTATTAATAGTTATGTTTCTTGCCGTATATTTTGCAAAAAAATTGTTTTGAAAACCTTGTATGCATCCACTTCCACTTATTAGTTAATTACAAATGATTAAACATATAAGTTCACACAATTAAGAGCCCACATGACATAAGTCCCAACTCTTTGAGTGCAAATTTAAAGTGGTAAGGGCTTATGGCGAACTTTAATTTCAACTCAATTCAATACTATGACACAAAACCATTTTTACCTAGATATGATGAGTGACAACCTCAATTTCTCCTTTCCATAGGATTGATAAATAATCGAATTTTTTTAAAATGCAAGCTGAGGTGTGTATAGCAGTTGAAAATTGTCCAAATATCGCTGGAAAACTTTCACTCAAAATTTCCCTAAGTTCCCTCTCCCCAGGACTTTGTTCAAGTCATCGGAAGCCAATCATTATTAGAAAGGGAAGTCTTACAAAGTTTCTTTCCCAAAGAAATGCCTTCCCCCAACTGAAGGGAATTCGAGCTTCATGAATTCATGTTCATGAAAAAATGGTGAGCTCACCATTTCCCAGGTGTAATGATCAACGTGGACTTATAATACTCGTTTCCAGGTGGTTGAAACGTCACATTTCAAAATGCTCTTTCAGAAAGAATAGCACATATTCTCTAGGGCTGAAAAGTGAAAAAGTGCGTTCATTAACCCCATGCATTAAACCATCCTGTTATTTCCCCTAACTACACCACAGCTATTACCATGCATCCAGAAAATATTAAGCAAACGAACGGACTTATTATTTACAAGATCCCTTAAAAATGAACCCATTAATGGCATGCGAAATTCAAAGTGACATAGGTCTACGAGATATTGGCGCGTGTGAAATCACTTTCAACGGCTGTGCTATTGTTATTATTAGTGCATTTATTTAATGAAACTTCACTCAAAACGGAATCTAAGTGAGCATAATTCGCCTAACGCAACTCCAGGATAAACTTTTAGCTATCTGATAACTACTACATCAAAATTGAAAACGATTTGTTAGCAGTGAAGTGTCACCACTTTCAAAATTGATTCTCAGTCTATTATCTAACCTTTTACTACTTAAAGCCGTATGGAATAACTACTGAAGGTCAAATTCTAAACAAGAGGGTGGAAACGTGTAACTCGACGACGACATCCCCTCGTAGCTTTCTTTTAAGAAGGTCCAGATTTTGGCGCGAAAGTTATATGCAGCAGGCAGAATTACGGAGAAATAGCAATTGTAAAATTGAATTCATCCTCCCGAAGGTTATTTTAATTTAGCTTAGGGCATCAACAGTTTTTTCTTCCTATAAAGCATCTCAAATTCATTAATTCTGTTAAAAATGTTGGATTAATTTATGGGAAATGCGGGAATAGATGAATGCTATCACATCTATGTGCCCTGATATTTTAGAAACTGGCAATTGGTGATTCAGAAAGATTTTCACATGAAAATAGCTTTCCGCCCTTCCCATCTATCCAGAATTTAGAGCAAGCAGTGAAAATTTCACAATGATAAATGGAAATCAGCATCTTATTTACTACTGTTGTCTGACAGGTCGGAGAACGTGGACAAAACTACGGTTACTTCACGGGTGTTTTAAAAATAAGGTGTTCAAAACTCGTAGATCATGGGATGAACAGATCACTTATTTGTTACCAATCTTGAAATTCTCATTCACCTTCTCATTGTTCCAGTAACCAAGTAGAAGACTCTGTCCTATATTATTTCAATATCACTGGAATTAAAATAATAAAAGACGAATCGATCAATATCAGACATTAGGGACTGTGATACCCGACAATGCATGTCCCTATAGAAACGTGATAAATTAGCGATCAGGCGAAAGTGGAAGCCAAGATTATTTACTACTAAGGTAGGCTATAAATTAGATAATTATCCCGCAAATGAATTTTCTCGAGAGCACAAAACCTTAGATTTCACTGATTTAAACATTGTCCAATGAGTAGGAATGATTTGAACGACCAAACGCCTACGAGTTTGGAAACTAATGGTTGACAGCAAATTAAAGAAGGAGCTTATAAGGGCAAACAGAGTTTATAAGCAAAGATATACATGCAATACTTGACAAACTAGTGAGAAAACCTAAATATTCTTAATAAGATCATAATGACCACTCCGAATATATTAGCATGGATGGTCGGCGTCAAGTCCGATAAGAATGTAATTGGTCCGCAGAAAAACCTGATCAAATATGTACTTACTTGATTGGAGAATGTAATTGAAGGGGAACATAGGTGCCACATCAACAATTATGAACAATTAAAGGCAAAAAAACGTAGAGCTGTACATTTGGTTATAAACAAAGACCGCCACCAAACTATGAAGCACAAACAAATCACTTCACTATTATAGATAATTCAGCTAATGTCCATGATTGCGACAGCAATGATCTGATGCAAATGAAATCTGTAAACTTTCAAATAACAAAAACTAAACGACCTACCACACAAGCGTTCCCGAACCCTAAGACAAACTAAGTTCTAAAAAACAGGAAAGTCGAAATAATACCAACAATTAACTTTTCTAATTGGGAAACCGAATCAACTCTACACAATAAACCGCAACAGGTAACCCAATTAACACAAAAGTTAACCAATAAAGGAATAACAAAACCAACAAACAGCTCAATCTTAAACGATTTATTGGTAAACATGGTATATTATTTGGAAGAATAGAACACTTAAGCCTCATCAGGCTCTTCCTCATCCTCATCGTATTCACCTTCATCTTCAGCAGAAGCATCTTGATACTGCTGATATTCGCTGACTAAATCATTCATGTTGGACTCCGCCTCTGTAAATTCCATCTCATCCATTCCTTCACCAGTATACCAATGCAGGAAAGCCTTGCGACGGAACATAGCGGTAAATTGTTCGCTAACACGCTTGAAGAGCTCCTGAATAGCAGTGCTGTTACCGACGAATGTCGCGGACATCTTTAGTCCACGTGGTGGGATGTCACAGACGGCAGTCTTGACGTTATTGGGAATCCACTCAACAAAGTAGCTAGAATTCTTGTTCTGAACGTTTAACATCTGCTCATCCACTTCCTTCATGGACATTCTTCCGCGGAAGATGGCAGCAACTGTAAGATAGCGACCGTGACGAGGATCACAGGCAGCCATCATATTTTTCGCATCAAACATTTGCTGAGTCAATTCGGGAACAGAGAGTGCTCTGTACTGTTGAGAACCGCGGCTTGTCAAAGGTGCGAAACCGGGCATGAAGAAATGCAGACGTGGGAATGGCACCATGTTGACGGCCAATTTGCGAAGATCAGCATTGAGCTGACCTGGAAAACGTAGACAAGTGGTTACACCGGACATTGTGGCACTAACAAGATGATTTAAATCGCCGTAAGTTGGGTTGGATAGTTTCAAGGTTCTGAAGCAAATATCATAAAGGGCTTCATTGTCAATGCAATAAGTCTCATCAGTGTTTTCAACAAGTTGATGTACAGAGAGAGTGGCATTGTAGGGTTCAACAACGGTATCCGATACCTATAGTTTTATTAATGAGGCAAAATTGAGCATTACCTTAGGTGATGGTACAACAGAATAGGTGACCATCATGCGGTCTGGGTATTCCTCTCGGATTTTTGAAATTAAGAGAGTACCCATACCAGAACCAGTACCACCTCCGAGAGAATGGGTCAGTTGAAAACCTTGAAGGCAATCGCAAGATTCAGCCTCCTTGCGAACAACGTCCAAGACGGAGTCTACAAGTTCAGCTCCCTCAGTGTAATGGCCCTTAGCCCAGTTGTTTCCGGCACCACTTTGGCCGAAGACAAAGTTATCGGGTCGGAATATTTGCCCGAAAGGACCAGCCCGAACACTATCCATTGTACCTGGTTCGAGATCCACCAGAATGGCTCTTGGAACGTATTTAGCTCCTGAAGCCTCATTGTAGTAGACATTGATGCGCTCCAATTGAAGATCGGAGTCGCCGTGGTAAGTTCCGGTTGGGTCAATACCATGTTCGTCAGAAATAACCTCCCAGAACTAAAAAGAATTACAGGGAAACCCAGAACTAATTACCTTGGCACCAATCTGGTTGCCACATTGACCAGCCTGGATGTGTACAATCTCGCGCATAATCAGGCAGTTCAAGAATCAAAAGTTAAAATGTGCGGAGGTCCGGACGGTAAAGCTTTGATAATGTCTTATATTATATATTAAAACAAAATTATTAAATGATAAAAATCCATAAGGTAAGGGTTTATTCTGTAGTACGAAATTATTTATAATTAATTAATCTTTTGGCTTTTGTAATGTATTCAAATAAAATATGGAAAAGTTACTCGGACGATATATATAAACCAAAATATTTGATTCAATGAAATTTAGTCATCCAAAGATATCGAGAATTCGCTTCTTACTTGTTAGGAAATGTTTAAAATTTAATTTTGATTTTAAAAGCTTATTTCAATGTTCAGAATTCCACAAATGTTATTCCCGATAATGTTGATTTTGTATCTGAATAGAATATGCTACATTGATTTTGTGATTTTCATTTAAAATCAAACACTTAATATTCGAATGAAATAGTTTTTCTCATCTTTTACTTAAAGATAATAAAAAATTTATTACCACTAGGCCTTTTAATTTCCGTTTTTCTAGCATAGCTCGAGTTACTACACTTTTGAGAACACTGAGACATCCTTTTCCAAAAGCCTGTTTAAAATTACTCCAGTGAGAAATGTCTCAACACTTATTTCGAAACATTATTTCTTCAAAATAAATTTAGAATTGCAATGAAGAAAAAATAGTAATATGTATAATCTAGATCAGCAAATAATGAAATAGGCCGATTGATTGGAAAATTTTGTGCATGCTTTGAAATGGTATTTTTGTAAATTTGTGACTGAAAATTAAAATGATAATCACTTGTATTTTGGTTCTTTTATCGTTTCAAATCTATCTTATACTCATAACAATGTTATTAATAACAAGCGGTTATTGAGTCTACAATAATGATGAAGTTTACGCTGCTGCTCTCTTTTGTTTTCAGCACGTCGGAGTCAAACAACTATTAATTTTAGGTTGCTCTTACTTAATTCCTATTTTAAAATACGAATTTTAATTCCTTGATATTCACGGTGGTTAACTATGTAAACTGATCATAACTCAGTATCGAAAATGTTCAACCAGGCAATTAATTTCGATCAAAATCATTTTTCGCTTTGCTTTGCAAATTTTAGTGCGAACATTAGTTGATTATTCTAAAAAATAAACTCAAATCGTACCTATAATCGACGGTTTGAAATGAAATCACTTCATCTATGCATTATTTTCTATATCTTCTCACCTTTGGTTTAAGTGAATATATATATATATATATATATATATATATATATATATCATCTTTTTATGGCTCCTTGTCTTTAATATGATATCTGAAGCTCTTTCGAATAATACTTGCAATAAAACTCATAGGTATGAAACAAAACAATTTGGCATTTATTAAATATTTTAATGCATTCCAGTTACGCATAATGAAACGGCAATAAAACTGCCGTGGTTTATTAATTTTAGAAAATCATATTTTGCATTCTCAGTCACATTTCGGTAGTGATACTTTTTTATATTTTACTGAATAATTCTCATACTAGCACCACAATCCGTTGGAAATTCTTTAATCTTTCCATTGTTTTCTCCAACTCTATTGAAATTGGTCTGAGTGGGAGTGGGAGAGGGGGGGGGGATTAGGAAAAGTGGACTCAGTTAAATTGTAATTTTAATCTTCGTAAGCAACACGGACTTCGTTATGTACAAATAATATAGATTTCTATGGGGTTTATGCAGGCTTGAAAATGTCTTAAAATAAGTTATTGGCTAATTGACATTGTGGGAAAGATACTATTCAAATGCTTTTATAAAGTACCTTTGTTATAGCGTCAGAAACAAATAAAAAGCCCGAAATATCAAAATAGGAAAAAAAATGAAAACTCAATATAATTTATGGAAAGATGAAGGTATTTGTAAGTAGGAGTCAGGTCGCAACAAAATAAAAGTTTACATGAATCAACAGAATGGCATTTATCCGCAAAATATTACGGCAACATATGAATCAACAAGCCAATTTAACTTATAATGAACTGATTGGGCTAATAGAACGCAATAGTTAAGGAGTTGAGTGGGAAATTTTGTTGAAACTTATCGAAGTTAATAGACTGCATCACCCGCCCTCCCAATCATTTTTTACCAGATTCCCACAAACATGTTTCTCGTTAATTAAACTTCTTAATCCTGTAATTATTGAAAATTACAGTTTCTGTGTATAAAAATTTACTAAATCAACTGCAATTTTAATAAAAACTACCATAGAATTACAGGTGTTCTAATTTCTTCCTAATAGGTCTGAACAATTATGACAAAAATTGAACCAAAGAGTGTCAATTTCAAGCCCACCAGATCATCCGATATTGAACATATAAGCAAATAAAACTTTCCAGTTTCATTAAGACTGAGTATTTGAATGGCATCTTTCAAAATATACATTTATTAAAACACGCCTGACCAATTTCATGCATTTAACTTAAATTTAAATACATTTGTAGACAAATCCTTGGGTTTCCATGCGAGTGAAAATCAACTCGATTTTGGGTTAAAGTAACCGAGAATGGAAGGCTGATTTTTCAGCTGAACTTTTGGTGCGACCTTCGGCTTTCTAGGCTTAACTACCTTTGATTTTGAAGCCTTCGGTGGACTGGGCTTGGTTTCTTTGATTGGAGCCGTCTTTGTTGGTAAAGCTAGAATGAGAAACGCAAGTATTAACTTGAGTTATCCGTTTCACATAGTAAACATTTCTGTTCACAAAGAAAAAAATAACCACCTAATTAAGCCCAATTTCAAAATCTTATGTTTTACCAACGAATGGTACTCACATTTTGATGCTTTTGAAGGTTTCAATTCGGACGTTTCCATGGGCGTTACTTGTAATTGGGTAATTGAAAAAAAACGAAATTCAACTTAAAATTCATTTACAAATAATGCATGCACTATACAAAAAAGACAAACAGTTAGAAAAAAAACAATTACATACTTTTAATATCTAAAAAAATATGTGAAAGCATTGTCTTGATATGACACTCATTTTTGCAGTTTCCATATGGTAAAATCACTCTTGATGACTAATCCCAAATACCTTATTAAGTGTTATAATAAGATGGACATCTCTTTGACCATCTTGGAGAGAACTCACCAACGTGGGCATTCTCCTTGCTCTCTCCCTCCTCATCCTCCAGTTCTTCAAATAGTATTTTCGGCTTCTTCTTGGGAGTAAGAAAGACAGAACTGGAGTCCTCGTTCGAGGGGAGTTCCATTCTAAAAGCATGTAAAAATTATTAAAAAATATAATACCAAAAAGGCTACCAGAATTGCAATAACCGGTAAGCAGTGATATTGAAAAAGTGCTCCATTGCGATTCACGAAACCCATTTTCATGCTAATTTAAAAGCAAACATATTAATGCGACTCAAATCAATACGAGAATTCCTTGCAATCGTCAATTATAGGAAGCAACTGAAATCAGTTAACGGAGCCCACACTAAATTAAAGTCACAGGGATCACGTTTCAAAATTCAGATTTTCACAAATGGTCTCCTGGATTGAAATAAATGGTTGGCTACAAGATTCAGTGTCTATTCACCACAATTTTTTCCTATTCAAGAAGAGTCGATCCTGTTGCTTAAATCCGTTTTTTTCGAAGATTGAAATTAAAGCTTTATTATGGTGATATAGCTAAAATAACGTCCATTTAGCAGAGCCCAGTAAAACCGCGCTTACTTAAGATGCATTTGAGGCTTTGTAGACGAAGTTGTTTTCTTAGTTTATATAAATCAAGAAAAAAAGAATTTACAACTGATAGAAAAGACCATACAACAAATTAGAATGTAATAATTTTCTAATGTGTAAAACATACAAAAGAAGCAGAAACTTCGAAAGCCATCTTACTTAACAACAGCGTTTGCGCCCGAATAACGAATTAATTTAATAATTTTTATTAATTACCAACTTAATTTGTAACATAGTTTGCCATTGTCGAAGAACAAATTTGGAGTTTGTACAACAAAGTTAGGTGAGGACAAGTGCTTTAGGTACTCAAAAGGACTACATGATCCAGATATTAGACATATGCTGATCAGAAGTTTCAGTGAATGCGTCTTCTCAATTCTTTTCACTTTTATGTTCCTTCCCCTCTTTGAAGCCTGAACTCAACTAAAGGGCTAATGACAACTATCAAAACGCCTGCCATTTGATATCAATAATTATTTAAATTATCGATTTTAATCTAACCCATCTGACAGCGCGTACACAAAGTGTCGAATTTTACGGCCTTAGTACCCGAAAAGTCAAAATTTTAGCCTCAATTCGTCTTAACCTCAAACTCATGCAGGTTATTCGCACACATCTTATCATTCAGATTCCACCCCACGGCCTTAGCAGGTGGTTAACCAAGCGCGTATGGGAAGTGGTAAATAAATTACTCGAAGTATGATGGGATTAAGGTCAGTAGCCATAGCCTCTGGTAAAATAGAGGGGACGAGATGGCAAGGTGACTTTAAACAGTAATATGCAAACATGAAAAGACACCAAGGAGCAATAATGGTGAATGGCTGTGGTTAACGCGCTTTTCTACAGACTCAGGGGTTACGGATTCTATGCTTATTGATGCACATCCAGAGAGCGAAATGACCATTGGCTATAGTTGATACAATGAAGGTGGAAGAATTTGAGTTTCAAGCCAGAGGTTCCGCGATAAGGGGTCGAAGTGGACTAATGAGGTAGGGATTTAGATAACTGGTCCTGGACCCTTGACAGATCTCCTCTTCTTTCACAGGTGTCTGTCCAGAAGCTAGATGAGGTATCGAGTTGGCCAAAATCAAGACGACCTGGAAATTTCAATGATAACGTCTTGAAATCCTTGGTTGAATTAGATCCGCCGTCAGCTCTAGAAGAGTTATCACAGAAACTCGAATGTCTATTGTCAGCTGGGCAATTATACTTGAAGGAGATCAGTAAATTGAATGAGGTGGGAATTCGAGCATCTCCACAAAACTCTTCCAGAATGAAAAAGATGAGGAAGGAAACAAGCATTTCATTGATGTCTCGACATCTATTCCATCCCCTGAGCCAGGCCAGTGTGGACCTTTTTGAAACTTCGTGCAAGCAATTTGTGGAACAATCCTTTGAGGATTGTTAAAAGTTGGCCGAAATGTAATATTGTCAACAATTGGGAATACTAAACTAGTAATTAAAAGACAAACTTTCAGCTCTAGTTAACAAGAAAGGGATAATCCTTCACAATGGTAATGACGGGCCCATAGAGGAAAAAAATAGGGGTTGAATGGGGGGGGGGTTACTTCCACCATATTTGAGAAACCTCGTCCATTCCATTATAACCTTTTCTAGTTCATGTAACAATCTCGAAATGCGACTGAAGTCGTCAGTCACTTGAACGAGCATTTCAATAAAAAAACAACAAATATTCCCAAATATGAGACCAAAAAAACAACAAAAGTTACTAATGGAAGTGTGAATTATATCAAACGTGCGATTTTAAAGTAAATAACATCTTAATGTTTTTAAGACGTGAGAGTTCTTGTTAGTACCCTTAATAATTACCGCGATTGGGGAGGTTACTGAGTAAGTCATTCGGTAAAAATGACCACAACTGACCTCCGCGGGTTATTGAACCTCAAGGCACTTGATTTTATGAGTAGAGTTGGTGATAGTGATAGCCGAAAGTACTAAAATTGATAATATACTATTTCTGAAACAATAATCTATTTAAAAAAACCCACACAGAAATGAAATACACAGAGTAAATAGAATGTGAAGAATTAATTTAGATAAGACAAAGATGGTAAACGCAGTATGACTTTGTTTCCAAATTCTAGGAAATTTATTACAGTAGGAAGTAGTCTGGAGAATGACGGTATTAACGAGAAACACTAACTTGACTAGGCTGAATGAACCGTGAGTCAATGATCTGAAAAGTCGCATTTCAAGACCAAATGATAAGTTAATGAACAAGAACTCTTGTATATGTAAAGTCAAGCAATTCTAATAAGACACACACAATAGAGCGTAAATTTGGAAAATAAGTGGGTTCACAGTTTCCTTTATCTGTAGCTAATTAGTCCATAGTGACAAGTACAGGAAAAATGCTAAAGGCCAGTGATCATCAGCACTAGGGTAGACCCTTTTCTCTGTAGGTAAATTGACTTCGTATTTTTTTTAGAAATGAGGTCATTTTCAGCAAAGCTGCCCTTCTCACAACTCTATGTCTGGAAGAGGGGGTGTGCGATAGACTTACCTCCACGTGGTGCATCCTGGTGGGTGTGCGATAGACTTACCTCCACGTGGTGCACCCTGGGAAACGTATACTCATACGGTAAAAAGTCTATTAACCGGAAGTTTGTGTGCGATAGACTTACCTCCACGTGGTGCACCCTGGGCAGCGTATTTTCTTACGGCAAAAAAGTCTATCACTCGGCTTTCGATATACTCATACGGCAAAAAGGTCTATTAACTGGCATTTGACTTCTGACTTCAAACTACCACGACCCCCCTGCACTTGCGACCCCTTTCACAGCACTCACCTTATCTTTTTCTCTACCTTTGTGTCTGTCTGCCTCTTTTACATCCTGAATCATTATTCTGTCCCCCTCTCGACTTTTTGCCAATTTCACCTTTTTCTACCTTTGTGTCTGTCTGTCTCTTTTACGTCTGTCGAATTGCTCTTCTGTTCCTCACCCCTCGACTTTCTGCTACTTTGAGCATTCCCTCTGTGAGGCCCGAAGTCAGCTAAATGGCTAATGTCTTCCCTCTGTGAAGCCTGAAGTCAGCTAAATGGCAAATGATAGCTATCAAATTCGACTTTCTGCTACTTTGATGAACCATCCCTCTGTGAAGCCCGAAATCAGCTAAATTAATAATGATATCTATCAAAACGCCTGCCATTTGAAATAAATAAATGTCTGGAAGAGTGCTTGCTGAGGCAAAACATGTCAGTTAGTGTATGACTTGAGCATAAACTAGTGTTGATCTGGCCTAAAAATGTTACACCTAGCATGCAATCAAAACAAAGAGAAAATCACCTTGCATTGCTGTCTTCATCGAATGGTGCAAAGCCTACCGCAACAGATGAAGGTGACTCTTGGCTCTCCGTTGCCCATTCTAAATTGGACTGGTATCTCGAGTGGAGACGTCTCTTTGGCTGCAAAAATGAGGAGAAGAAAGAAGAGGGATTAGTAGGAAGAATAAGGTGATTTCAAAACATCCACGCTTCTACTAGATTAGGAACATGCCTTCACAGGTACTTGGGGGAGCGCTATAAAACAAGAAAGAGCAGGTATCTTCATAAGTACTTTTCCAGATAACGTATTCTCATTTGACCTTTTAGTTCAGGGATAGAATAAGAATAGGATTGTCCACCTTTAGATAAAAACACGAGAGCTTCATTTAATCACGTTGATTGGTTGAAATTATATTCTTAATGTGGGGTGTGCGATAGACTTACCTCTTCGTGGTGCACCCTGGGCAACGTA